TGCAAGATTATCACTAACTGGACAAATTTCGCACTTGGCACCAGAGTATCTGTTGCCATCTGGGCCATCAAAGCATCGACAACGTCCGCAAATACATTCACCCTTCCCATTGCAAATTTTTCCATTGGCAGACATACAAGAGTCTTGGCTAATTGGGCACTCACATGCTCGTCCTGAACGTTTGAAACAATTATAGATTGTTTGATGAAACGATAACGAACTCATTGTGATAGCCTTCTTGTCAGTCAGGTTTCTTTTAAAATTTTTGTGTTTTTCAAAAAGAAAACAAATAAAGAAGTATGAGCGCGACAACCTGTCCATCCTGGGGCACAAATGCATTGTCCACAATTACATTCTCCATGCTCGGCACAGATTTTGCGATCGTGACGTGGGCAGTTGAAGTTATCGCACTCACAAAACTCGCCGGAAATCTGTTCCTCAGGATTCTGAAAATGTGAGCAAGATGGAAAAGACATGCTCAGAAGAGAGCAAACAATTACTGGCAATATCCCTGAAGAACTATTCATATTGAAAACCCAACTCCTTCCTTTCCCCGTGAGAGTGTCATTTCAATTTGGTTTTTTTAATGAATGCATTTGCGATAAAGTATAAGTACTAAATTTCTTGCCACAAAGAAATAAAGAGGAAAAAATAAGAGTGGAGTGATATATTAAACCAACCTGGCGTGGATTACATTCACAACGACCACAGTTACAAACTCCTCTTCCTTCGCAGATTGCCGATTCGTTGGTTCTGCAAAGTACGAGCTTGAAAAAAAGGCATATCAAAACTTTCAAAAAAGTACAGTCTTCCAAAAATCTCCATTTTCAAATGGAGTGAATTAAAAAGTTTGCATATATTCCCCTAAGTTCTTACCGTTTGCACTTTTCATTGAGTGCAGCAGTGCTCATCCCTGGTCGATTACACTCGCAGTAACGTCCGACATTTCCGCCCTTACAACGGCAAACACCGCATACCATATCGCCACCATGACATTCTTCGGCATTCTCGACAATTCGATCCTAAGGGTATGAATCGATAACTCATGTAAATTCTAGGTTTAATAAGTTGATTACCTCCTGTTCGCATTCGCAATCACAAAGCACTTTTACGTTGACAATAAGTGTTTCGTCCAAGCCAGATGGACCAATTCGAAGAACAAAGTCTCTTCTGTCAACACAGTGCGTTGCCTCAAGCGTGACTTCGAATTGCACTTCATCCCCTACGCGAATTCCCTCACAAACGTTCGTATCACGGAGCGTAGTACCGCTACAAAAAA